TTTATTATTTTTAAAAATAACAAGAATTAAGAGAAATATGCTGTTCATTTTTTGTGTCGTAATTAAGCTAACCTACTAAATAAGAAAGAAATGAAAATGTTTTTTATAATTGAACACGACAATATAATATTTCATGTAGATTAATTGTAGACTTAAAAACTAATTAATGATTTAACTGATGTCCGTTAATACGTTTACAGTTTATGTACACCGAAACCTCGTAACAAGTTGTCAAATAATCACGATTAACTTAAGATTACCATTGTTATTGTCCGTACCTTATAAACAGGAGGAAGATGATTTTCGAAGGGAAAAAATTCAAAAATATATGAGTCCATTGAAGATGAAACTTGCAAGAAAAAATATGTGGTTAGGATAAATTAAGGGAACTTTATTAAATAAAAATAATAATTTAAGTTCACGCATCGTCTGTAAATTAACGGAAACAGTGAATAAAAAATAACGTTTTTCAAAAATTATTACATCTACAACAATAGAGAATACGATGAACGTCTTGGGTATCTGCCGAACGTCAAGCACGGAATTTACCGCTAAAAAACGGAGGGGATACGATTTAAGTAAGTGGCCGGTTTTAGACGGTTAGTCTTAGCTTGCTAGACTATGGGACATCACGGAATAATGTGTAATGTGCGTCACCACATTGTCAATTAGTACACAACTCAGTATTTTATAGTTAAATAATAATTTAAACTGTCTTTGAACACTGACACCATATTATAGGACATCCGAAAAGAAATTGGGGCATTAGAAAAAACATAAAATTTTGGTACACTTGTTTATGGAACAGCGCATTTCAATAAAAACTGGTTTAGAACGTTATTTAAAAAATGAATACATTACCAGCCCCGCAGAGCCAAAAACATAAGACTGGTTCGTCCAATACCACAAAAAATTTAATAATTATAATGTAGCAAACAATCGCGAAAAGAAAAAAAATAATTAATAATAAACAAATACTAAATGTTGTAGTGCACACAAAAGTAATTCGGTACGGTGAGACCTTATTGCATACGACTATTAAAATTTGACAAATTCACTGACGTTTGACCTGGCAATATGCTGGCGACGTTCCAGCTAACCTTTAGAGTAGGGGTCAATGAAATTCTAAAAACAATGCCGGAGTATATAAAGAAAAATTTATCAAAAGGTGACAATATAGATAATGAGTAATGCAAATGATGTTGAAGAATGGAAAAGAGCGGAGTGTACACACAAATGACATCTATGAGCCGGTTCGAAGTAGTACACAACTATTTCGCACGCGCACAAACAAATAACAAAAAATTATCATGACTAATACTAATAGATAATCAACGCCATCGCAACACGCAGTTGGTCATTCAAATAAATATTAATATTTGACCATGTCAAATGAATAATACAGGTAATATACTGGTATACTGGAAATGAGTTTAAAGTGGCGAATGATTAATCACAGTATATATACAAAAAGTGATTGTTTTTTACAGCCAAAAAATTATATTATAAATAGCCCCCTATATATCGTATGTTAAATCTATGTAATAAATTGTCTGGTATTGATTTTTTTACTGATAGTACATGGAAATTAAAATTAAGTTTTTGAATATAATATGATTGTTATAATTGTATGTATATTGTAGTTTATCTGTATTCTTTAACCTTTGCAGTGCATTACTTTTTCTAAATAAATAAATAATGGTTGAAATGAAATATGCTACCCAACCTAACTATAATATAGTATTGTTATTCTTCCATAAGGCAGATAGGCTCAATGTGTATTTTATATTTACTTAGCTCGAATATTTGGTGAATCAAAGGTAATATATGTATTAACGTGGGTTCGACCAAGTCATTATTAAATTTACCTTATGTAATGAAAACCGTTCGCACGTGTTAGCTTTTACATAAAGAGAAAAAGACTGAACTTGCGGGTCTAACTACATTGCGTTGTAATAAGCTCTTCTCTTCACTTAACTTTAAACCAGCATATTGTAATGAAACGATAAGTTCATGTGTTATAAACTTTCGAATCTTTAAGCAAACAATAATGAATTATTATTTATTTAATTCCTCCGGATTTTCGAAATAACTTTTACTAAAGTATATAATATTTGGTTATATTTGAATTTGAATTAATTGATGTGAATCAAATCAGCCATGATAATACTGAAGTAATTTAATTATTTATTTATTTATATAATTATTCATACGGACAATTTTCAATCCTAGACCTGACAGAACTGCAAAGACTTCCAACCGTTTAAACCAGAATCCTGGAATAGGCATATGAAGGACCAGCTTTAGGGCCAAAATCCAATAGATAATAAGTTTATCCGCGATAGTTTTGAAGAATATGAAGAAAGTGACTGTTTTAGATGATTTTAATGAGTACAAGATTGAACACAGCTTAAGTACACAATAAATGTACATTTAGTATCTCTTGATTATGTTCAAGCGCCGTCAGTTAAGTTAACGCTATCATACAAGCTTTTAATGCACTTTTCTTCCTGTTATTGGTCAGTTTGAATCTTTGTTAATGCGACTTGAGTATACTTGAGCATTAGTTGATACTTGTTTCGGAGACTTCAACAAGTTAGATAAACTTATCCATAAAGAAATAATTTTATCAGCTGACAAATAAGTAAAAATATATACTAATGATTTGAAATTGCACTAATTTAATTTAAAACTTATTGCCAGGAGTTTCCAAAAGATGAGAAAAAATAAGTATAAAAAAAGTATCCATCAGTCAGAAAAAATGAATGTACTATGTCCTTTTGGAAAAAAAACATGGTCGATTTGAGGAATGTACCTAGCACTAATAATCACCAACAGCAATATAGTAAGGACATTTTAAAAATTGAAGTTGATAAAAATCTACTCTGGATTTCCATGTACGACGAAAAACTAAATTTAACTTTAACGATTATTGAAAGTGACAATTTAAGAAGTACTAAAAATTAAGATATTATAAAATACTTCACTCCCATTAAATAGACGTGAACAATTTCATCACTAGATGATTTACTTTAAATGATTATTGTTATGTTAATATACAGGCTAATTCACTTATCATGAACCACATGATTAATCGAAAAATAGAAATAATATTAATAATTTTTTTAATCTATTCATTTAATTCAATATTTTCTCAATTTATCATTCATGAAGTACTTTTTATGTTCATCCTTTATACCTTATAAGGGTGTCAACCTTAACTTTACTCTTTTTTTATATAGAAAAATATATAATTGTTATGTAGAAACTGTCTAAAAGGTTATTGGAAAGGATTATGTTGAACAATTACACCTATTAAAATATTTTTATTTACACAATGAAATAACTAATATGCAGTTAATCCTATTAATCTTAACAAACCCTAATATATGGTGTCTCGCCAGGATATCTTAGTTAACGTTTGATCCAGAAAATATTTTTCGTCATACTTTTTAAAACATTTTTTTAAAGTTGTGGACTACGTTAAAATCAAGTATTTGAATTAGATAAAAAAAATAAATAAAAATACAATTTTTTTTTATTTTGAAATAGTTATTTTTTAACTCTTTTCTTACAAAAAATTGTGCATTGACCCATCAAAATTTTTTATAAAAAAATAGATTAATAATGGTCCTGTTACTTTTGTACTTGAATCTATAGGTACTTTATAGTTAAAATAAAGTTATGATAAAGAAAATAGATATAATATATGGATTTAAAAAGTAGAAGTGGTACAATATGATTACTAGTAGTTATGAAGTTTGAAAAATCTAGTAATTATAAGACATGATAAATTATTTGACGATACGCTACATACACATATATCTGTCATTAGTAATTTATCATTAAATACAACTAATTGTAATAAGAGTACAAGTATCCGTAAAATAAACAATGGTTTGATGTTTCTTAAGCAAAAAAAAAAACAGAAAAGTGATTATATCTAGAAATATTTTAATTTCAAAAAGAAATATTCTAGAAATATTTCATTGCTATGTGACTAAATTCTATATTATACCTATAGGTATAATTAATACACTATAAAAGTTAATTATTGCTAACCACTAAAATCCTCTAATTTAAGATCTCTCCTCTACTACCATTCATGGTATCCTTGATAGGCTTTTAAAACGGAACTGGTCTCGTGATTTATTAACTGTTTAATAGCAGCAATTTAAATCGTGAAGTGCTTCTAATGAGCAATTTATTCAATCAATTCTACTGTCTTCATATAAATTCCTAGATCATTTGTGCTTAATGTAAAATGTATATGTAATTTACAAGATTGTACAAATTATTTATAAAAAAAAAAGAAGGAGAAATTATAACTTTGCGCAATTCATTTTTCTAAATAAATGTTATGTAATTCAAAAAATTTCTTAGTACAAAGACATGCGGCTTAGTTTGTAAAAATTAACGTGTACAAAAAACTTTTGAAATGTAGAAGAATATATTCTATAAGAATGTGTATCAAAAATATATTTTTACATAGAAAAAAAATATACATTAAATATAATTATGAGTAAGTCAATGAACTATAAAATTTTGCCTGCGAATGATTAAATGATATGTGTATAATTTTATGATAGGGCAGAAGGTAAGAATAATAGGTAAATAAAATTGTACATTATGTAAAATCAGCAAAAATAAGTTAGTTATTATAGTTCTGTTAGTTACATTTATATGACAATTACTAAGTACATTTAAACTGCTATTCGTTTTCTAGGAAATAACACTAGACATTAGTTTTAATAGAAAATTCCTCTGTTTAATAAGAAGCGCGTTTAAAAAGCCCTAGTGGACCAGTTGTCACAAACACTGATGAATACATCATAACACGTGATAGCTGATCTCTTGCCTCTTTGTTTACCTACCCACTTACTCATCCAGCACGACAAATCAAAGGCCTACGCGTCAATTACCCGTCGTGTGCAGTTCACCGTTGTAATTGAATATTTTTATGAGTCACTTTATACAGCTAACGCCTTCGCTTGGCTAGTCAATTATTCGACCATTGTGTGCCTTAATTTATTATTTGTTTTTTTGCACCCTATACTCAAGTTCTTAAAGCTCCATGCCTTTGCACGCCTACAGTCAATGGACCCTGACCATCACTGAAGATCTTTATTGCCGCAGTCACTTTTCCGCCCACTGGTTTCGTCCGCCATTATGTGCCCTGCACATTCACGTTAACCTGTGATACGTGCGAATTCTATGCCTTCCTTGCTGTTCTTATTTACTTCCGATGCCTATCTGCGTTTGTTTTCAACTTTACCATATACCGTGACATCCAACGTCAGTTGTCAACTAGTTTTATCGCCATTACCACAACATCATTTATATTCCGCTTACTACTATTTATTCAGTTAAGTTTTGTATTTTTTATTATATTGTTTTAATTAAGTTTTTTCATTTGTTTATTGCCACTTCGCCGGCCATTAGTATTTAAGAGCCTTCCGCAAACTTAAGATTAAAAAAAATATATCATGCGCAACCATGAATCATTTGCACTATCAATTACTGCGCTAGAGAACGTCCTCACCTGTAAGTTATCATTTTATTGGCAACATATTTCTTTAATTTTTCTCTCTAATTTATTTATAATAATTAAATATCTATATTTTTATTGAAAAATTTTATAAGATAAAAGGATCTTATAATTTTGAGTTTTAATTAATAAGTGATAAAATCGATAAACTTAATTTAACTGTGATACAGCACAAACACTAACCAAAAAGTTTGTAATTTACGATTTCCTTTAAAATATTAATTTATAAAAATATATTTATTGAAAAAATTTTAATTAAGAATTTTTGTTTGTATACAATTTATTTAAGTTAAGTCAGTAATAAATTATTGTAATATAAAATTTATGCCAACATTTTTTTTTAAACTGATTTACTTACCAACAAAAAGAATCCTAATGTAATTAACTAACGTTTTGGTTCATAAATTAAATATTTTATCATCATTAATTTCTAGTGTTTAAAAATTAATGGAACTTAGGTTTTACTTTTGTTTGTAAAAACATGATTGTTAAAATACGTAAAATATTTGTGTTTATTATATTGGTCAATTTATATTATACATTATGGAATTATCCATAAAAAAAAAATTCTTACCAAATAATAACACACAATAAAGTTGGAAAAATTGGACACTTAAGAACAACTTCAAAACAAGTACGCCTAGTATGATTAATTCTTTATTATTCTAATGCCAATTTAATAAAGTACATTCTCTTTTTGTTAAAAAAATGTATGCATTTACAACAAAACTGTTGAATATGGAAAGGATAATAAAATATACTTTAGAAAAGATAAGTTGTGCCAGAGCAACAATTACTCTGATATTAATAAAGAAAAAAACTTTGATTTTATTGATAATCCTTCATAGAGTCTCGTATAAAGAAAAATCGAAGTATAACTATGCATTCATGTTGTATCAATTTATCGATAGAAAAATAAAAAAAAAACCACCTTCACTAAAATAAACAATATCGATATTAAATATTTCCGAATCTTTTTTTATCAAAATAAGTTACTATGTAAATGAAGATATTGCGAGATACTATGATCTAGAAACCGAAAATTTGGATGAATGGTGGAATAAATGGCATATAGAATATTCAGCTAGATTTTTATCTAGAGAGTTCTACAAATATATAAGTACAAACGGTAGCACAGTGGGGTTGCAGCACTGTGTAGATGTGTCATAGTTGGGACAAGTATAGATGATATCTGATAGTGATATAAAACATTATCATACGAAACGCTTCGATGCAAAACTGTAGATAGTGCTTAATTTAAAAAATTTTAGTATTATTCAAAAGCCAAAAATAACTCTTAATTCCTTTGTTCAGTCGTGTTGAAGCAGATTGGTGTAGTGAGCGCCGATTTTCTTCTCCTCATCAAGACCGCGACCTGCCACAACTGGTTTTTTGCTGTTGGGGTAGTGTGTGGCGGTGGTTGCAAAAGTGTCATTCTCTGGTGTTTTGTTTTTGTTCGTCTTGACAGCTTGCTTTTTGATGTCTTTTTTTATGTATTCAATTCACCTTGTTTGATTGCGTCGGCCTCAACTACATTAATTGACACATTAACACTCTTCAGTTTGGTACGAAAAACCAGGTCAAACTATACATATTCTGTTTGTCTAAATATTAATAGCTAATAATTAATAACGTTGTATCTTAGTATATTAGTTTAAATTTAAGTACTAACAATAGATTTAAGATAAATTCCTTGTAGTTATCATGTTGGATGACATATAATCGGGAAATAAATTACAGTCCACTAAACGTAATTTTTTATTTAATTTAAAGGAACCTCTAGAGACGAGAATTAATAACTCGGCGATTGGGCGTCCGAGTATCTCGCATCGCACATCCTTATTTATATCCTGATTAGTAGTTCTAAGATTTAAAAGTATAATTTATAAATAAATATTTATTATAGCAATAAAATAAAGTATGAAATTGTCATTTAATAATTTAGTATTGTAATTTTTACGGAGAAATTATAAAAAATTATAAATAAATATTACTTTTGTGACAAAAATGTATAAAAGTTGAATTTTTAATCCCCTCTGTGAGCATGTTAACTGTTAGATATTGAAAAAAATGATATCAAATAAAAAGGAAATATTTAAGGTTTCAATATAAAAAAAAATTTATGTCGATTTCTTCATTTTTCAAAAAGTTATAGCAGTTTTAAGAAAAAAATGCCAAAATTTACCGATTTTAAAAATCGTAATTTTTTGGGGATTTGCACCATTTACAGGAAACGAGAAAATTTTTTTCAATTTTTAAGGGTAATATTTTCAACTAGATACGATTTTTGATCTTTTGACGCATTGTTTAAAGAATTTGGTCCAGTTAGAGCTGAATAAAATTGGCAACAGACACAAAAAAAAAGAAAACACACACAGTAAAATTAATACCTTTTTAACTTAGCATCGAAGTTAAAAAAAATACCCTTCATACTAGGGAGTCAATACTTTAAACATGCGTATAGAAACTAGTTATTTTTCAACTTAATTTTCGAAAATGTTCCTGAAGTACTGACACTTTTATATATATCGTAAACTAAATTTTATGAAATATACTTTACTATTAATAAAAAAAAATTCAAAATATAGATTATCTTCATGTGATTTGATTTGATAGGTGGGGATTGGAATTTAGTCTTTTTTTACAGTTGGATATTTGTTAAGGATTTTATACCTTTTGTTGTTGGTTTATCCGAGAAAAAATACATTATTTTCAAACTATGTACTATGAACGCCCTCCAAAATCAAATTAAAAATTCTTTTTCTGAAACATATAATTAAAAAAATCTTTTAAGCTCTACCGACGAGTCATTGTCATCATGTTATCATTGTGATAATCTAATAAAAATTTATCAGGTTTAACGAATTGTACACAACGACTCGTATATAATTATTACTATAGGTATTAATACTCAAGAAAGATTTCACGTGATGGTGTAACCAATCCTATAATTTGATTAATAACAACTGAATCCAAATACTTAAACGTGAGCGTAATTCTAAATGAATGTTGAATGAGACTTTGATAATGTGAAAAAAACATTGCACAGCTCCAAAAGAAAAAAAATTTACCCATGAACCCATACTCCCCTACTAAATATAAACGACCCCGCTCAAAACGAATCCAAGGTCTAAATAGTTTCATCATGTCAGGTTTTTCTTTGAACCTCAAAAAAAAAAATAACCTAAAAATGACAAATATTAACAACCTTAATTTACAAAAAGAAATTGACTTATTAACCCCATTATTTTATACCACAATTAGCCCAAATTTACAATATTATATCTCCATAATATCAGAAACCTATAACCAAAATGTCAAAAGGAATAACCTTAGTTATAATCCTATAACCTCACATCTCACAACCCCATAACCTAATTTTTAGAAAGAAAAGTAATTTTTATTTGTATTTAAACTGTGGGATACAATTTTGTAGACCAGATGGTTTTCATGAATCTACAAATTTTAACAACGCATATCAGTAACTTGTAATTGTTATCTTAAAGTTATGTATTTATTAAGACAACTTTCTTGTGCTTAATCTAGGATTTCTCCACGCGGTTGACGGTAAGCAATGGAATTGTTCCATGATTAGGCAGAGACCCTATAAACGGTGATCATGCCGTTATGAGAAACACAAAAAAAAAATGTACGATGTAGGGGGTTGGATCTCCAGTATCAGCGGCTAGTACGGTTCAAAAAGCGGGCCCGTAAAAAATAAAATCGAAAATTTTCACACAATAATAGCATTTAGTAGCCATTTTCACCGTGAAGACAAAATAAAGTCCGAAATTTTTTTGGCATAATAAAGTAAATTACATTAGCTTTAATTTAAGATATATATAAAAGTGTCAGACTTTCCGGAACACTTTCAAAATTTAAGTTGAAAAAGTAAATTTTTTGTGAAAAAGTTGTCATTTTAAATCCCCCCCTCTTATCAATATCATGCATAAATATATAAATAATATAAAAAAAAAAAATTATATTGGTTGAGTTATTTTTAAAAAAGTTATGGCAATTTTAAGTAAAAAAAATTTTAAAAATTTCGAAAACTAACGATTTTTATATTTAATTTTTTTAGAGGTTTCCCCCAATTACGGGGAACGAGGGAATTTTTTTTCAATTTTTTAGGGTAATGTCTTCGACTAGATACGATTTGTGATCTTTTGACGTATCATTGAAAGAAATCGCTTCGGTGAGAGCTGAGAAAAAGTGGTAACAGATACAAAAAATAAACACGTCTTAGTAAAACCAATACCTTCTCAGCTTCGCATCGAAGCTAAAAGAAATGACTAGAACGAATTCCTTATAAGCAGGATTTAAAAATGTTCTTAGACCTCCACTACAAACAAACAAACAAAAGTTTTGATTCCTCCACTCCACCTTTCCATTCAGAAACTTAGGTTATGGGATTATAATGTTTAAAACAAACAATCCAGCCCACAAAATCTGCATCCGATAGTTCAAATACAAATAAATGCTTTATCTTTCTAAAAAAAAAGGTTAGGGTGTTATGGAGTATAATATTATAAGGTTACGAGTTTAAAAAATCTATGCAGTTAAGTTTATTTTATTTTGTAAAATAATTTTTTTTATTTTTATTTATGTGGAGCTACTCTTTTTTAAAAGAAATTTTCTAAATCTTTTTAATCTATTATTTTACTTATATGTGCATAGGTGCAATTTCAACAAAATTTTGGGACAAGCTCAATATATGTTATTTACTCCTTCTTATTTTTTTTATAGAAATATATGTAATGAATCATTTATGTAATTTTTCTAAAATTTCGGAGTAGCTAAGGTACCTCCCCAATTTG